TGCAGGGAAACAGGGAATGGGGTTTGTGTCAGTTCATCACACGTGGTCTCTGCTACTCCTTCCTCCTCACACTCTTCCCCTGCTCCTGAGTGGAGTCGCTCCCATGGGGGACAGACCTCCCCAAACTTCTTCAGTGGGAATCTTTTTCATCCCCTGCAGTTCTTCACAAATATCTGCAGCATGCATTCCTCCCATGGGGTGCAGTTCTTCAGGAACATTCTGCTCCAGGGTGACACCCTGACACAGGGGTCACAAATMCCACCAGCAAACCTGCTCCAGTGTGGGCTTTCCCACAGGGTTGCATCCAAAAAACAAGTARTTTGTTCTTGCTAGCAAACAAAATGTAAAAAGGTTTTAAAATCTCCTAAAACATGCTCCATAAATTTATGGGCCTCAGAGAGTTCCTAACACAATTGTAAGCTTTTTAGTTCAGATCAGGGTTGCTGAGAAAACTCAGGATCCCTGCTTATGTGCTTTTCTTCTCTATATCAGAGTGAATTTTGCTTTCCTGCATTCTGCTTCTTTTTCCCTTACCCAGTTAACCCTTGGATAAACTTCCTTTTCTCTGTGGTTCTGTCCCCAGCAACTTCCCAGTGTCACTGGGTCGTTTTCAGGACTATCATCTCTCCAACTCTGCTAACTACAAAGCAAAGAGCTTGGTTTTAATGCCTATCCTTTAGGTTTTGTATGTAAGGACAATTCAGTGCTTGAGTCCCTCTCCTTTCAGATGAACTATTCTGGATTGCTTTCTGATGGCTTTATTTTGTCTAGTGTCCTAAGGCACTCTGCTTAAGTATTAATGAAATCTGTTGCCTTAAGTCCAGGTGATTTCTTATATGCAGAAGCATTCAGTAATTCATGGAATTCAKAACTTACAGATTGTCAAGTTTTCTAAATTGCTGGACCTAGTGTGACTGACTGCTGTCAAACATGAAATAATTATTCAGCTATGTGTTTGGGTTTTGTTTTGTGGACAGTGGAATTTTGCAGGTCTTTGTAGGTACAGTTGCATTAGTACAAGAAGTCTGAAGTAGAAGGCCTGATACAGGGAAAAAAAATTAAATATGAAACTGCCAAAGTTCAAAAATAGAGCAATAATCCCAAATGAAAAATAAAAAAATAGCTTTATTATTATTTATTACACCATTCAAAAGTGTACTACTTGCTTCAGAGCACAGCAATGTTCCTTCTAGTGTTCCCTAGGAGATCTTCGGTCCCAAAATCACACAGACCTCGTTATGTGTTATTTTATTTTGATTTAGATTAGATAAAAAGTGCCTAGACACCAGCTCAGAGCACTCTGCCTGTTACTATAAACTATAAAATCCAAGTGCAGTGCAATCAGTTTAACTCTTCTACCAAGCGACACACACAATCAAACATCAGTGGCCCCTAACATTAATCCACTTAGTCCTTCTTCAGAGGTGAGATGAACACAGTCCTTTCACTACCTTGGAGAATAGTAGGAAGGGAATCAAGGTAGTGTGTGTTGCTGTTTCCCTAATGGACAGCAGCTCCCCAGAGGCATTTTTCCCTGTCTGTATAATCACATGTCCAGAATGATAATAGAACAAAATCAGATGGTATCTTGCCATCGGCCTTGCCAGCCTCAGATGTGCAAAAAGTTATGAGTTATACAATCTCAGAATATATGAAAAATACTACTTTATTTCTGAGTATTAAAATCAAACTCAGTTCACTTTTGGTTTTATACTTTTATTTCAAATGGGTCCTGGAACTGTCACATTAACAGAGTTGGGATGTGCAAATATCCCAAATACACTATGATACGCCTGAGAATAGTGAGCAGTATTAGAAAGAAAACATGACTTTTCCAGCTGTAKGAACCCTGAGGAGATCATTCCAGAAAATATCCTGGACTTAGCAACTTGTAACAGAACAGATAATTTCTGCCAGTGCATTTCAACTCTTTGTGCATTTCAACTCATTGTATATTTCAGATGAACAAGCAAGCTAGTTTAATTACTGACAGGATTTCCTTATTCTTTTTAAATACCAACAGAAATATTTACTACTGAGAAATATTTACTACTGACATTTAAAGCCAAGGCTGCATAAACACTGAGCCAATTGCTGTAACTTCCAGTCAGAGTCAGTGAGGTGAGATTTTCTTTCAGTCCCTTTTTCAGACTATGCTGTTTCTTCTAAATATTGTGTAGAAACAGTTCAACTTTTCTGATTAATATATCTGTAAGTGTTCATATGTAAAAAAGGGTATTTTTTTCTAAAAGATAAAAATAATTTTAATGTTTTAATTTTAGCAAAGCAGCATTTATGACCTATTGATTTATGTCCATAGAATAGCTAAAGATATGTTTCATTTTTCTTCATATTTTGAAATTTTGATATGTGTTGTTCTGACATTTGCTCTCATATCTTGCTAAATTTTCTGGTAATGATTTGAAGGTAGCAGAATTCAGTGACAAGGATAGGAAGTGATGAGTAGCATCTGTGTCAGCTGGATATTCACCAAGTGAGGAGTTTTGATTGCCAATGAAGTCTTTGTGTAGATTTGTAGTGTGATTGAGTATCTGATGAGAACACAGGTTGGTTGTTGTGTGGGTGAGTCAAGGTACTGTTTYTGTTTTTGTCTCTTGAGTTGCTACACAATACACTCTGGCTGTCCATTAATAGGGATGCAACAGAATCACAACCAAATGAGTCCTTGTTTTCCTGGCTTGCATATCAGCAGCTGAGAARTAACACAACTTCTGTTCCATGCCCTCCAAGCTGGGTAGAGAAAAATAACTCAGTATTCTATTGCATGTCTAATTGTAGCCTGGCTCTGCCCTTTATGTTGATATTTCTCTATTGCTGCACCTATTTTCAGGCTTTTCAAATATCTCATTTAATTTTTAATGACTGTTTGCTGGAGCATTCAAGTTTCAATATATCAGTGGTCAAACTCCAGAATCTGTCTTGAGACATTTTTCAGGCTCAGATTTATCCAGAACCTTTGCTAATGATAAAAACAATAAATTACAAATGTTTTTGGAGGAGGTAGTCTACCAGAAAATGCAAAATATTATATCCAAGTGATGGTAAAATCAAGGTAATGATTTATATACATAACAGGAGGTGTGTATACCTGTATAAGTCAACTCTAATTTACACTTCTAGTGTAAATTAGAATYGAGGTTTTGATTTCTACAGCTATTTTTCTCATGAAGTCATTTTAGAGGATTGCTCATCATTTATGTAAATGCAAAACAGTGAAAAAGAACACTTAATGAACACATCTTTAGAGCAGGGAGATAGTTTTGAGTCAGTAGGCAAAAAAAGGTACTCGTTAGGGAGAACTTCTAAACAATAAGTGCATGATTTCCATTTTATAAACCATGGAAGCTGCTATTCATTTAACCATTAAAACCATTTGGTTAAAACCAAAGGGACTCTCTGAACTGGAAAAATCATTAAATAGCAAATATGTCCGTCAYGGGTGAGGCCACACCTTGAGTCAAATGTTGTGTTCACTTCTGGGCATTGAGGTGCTGGACTGTGTCCAGAGAAGGGCAGTGGTGCTGGTGAAGGATCTGGAACACAGGTATCATGAGGAGCAGCTGAGGGAGCTGCGGGTGTTCAGCCTGGAGAAAAGGAGGCTCAGAGAAGACCYTACYRCTCTCTACAACTGCCTGAAAGGAGRCTGTAGCTGGRTAAGGGTCATCCTCTTCTTCCAGGCAACAAGTGACAAGACRAAATGGCTTTAAGTTGTGCAATGGAAGATTTAGGTTGAGTATTAGAAAAAATGACTTAATAGAAAAGGCATTGGAATAGGCTGTTCAGAGAAATGGTAAAATCTCATTCCCTGGAAGTGTTTAAAAAACATGGATATGGACATGGTTTCATGGTGAACATGTTGGTCCTGGGTTAACAGTTGAGCTCAATGACCTTAGAGGTTTTTTCAGCCCTACAATTCTATGATTTTGTGATTTATTGTGCAAGTAGAAAGCTATATCAGAGAAATACTTTAGTATAAGATACATATCGTCACTGCAAAGGAATATCTTGCTAATTGTGACGCTGGATAACTCAATGTCTTTTGCTTTGCTTTGTTTTGATTTGGATTCACCATTTTTGTGCAGTAGTTTCGGGTGAAGGGGTTTTACCAGCTTTTGAGCATTTGGACTCTGGATATATATATAGTTATAGCTTTATTAAAGTTATCTGAAAATGTGTCTCCTTTGAAAACACATTATCTGCAACCCTTTTTTCTCCTTTGAAATTTTGTAGCAATAATGTACTGAGAAGTCATGGTAGAATGTGTTGCTTTGGTTAAGGACCCTGGTTTCAGGTAACTTCTCTGTTCTATACTTTAGCTCATTTTAAGTGTTTACTTGAACAAAGAAAATACCAATTTCACATTTCTGGATTACAGTTTTTTGGTTGAAGTGTTGAACCTTTTTACGTTTTTCTGAATTCCCTTTTTTTTTAAGCCAAAATACTTTGTAGAATTTTACCCACATGTGTATTGAACATTTCTGTCCTTCTGAACCTCTTACTTCTCAGCAAGCACGTAATACTATGTTTTTGAATAAAACCCATCTGTTCCTCACATGTGAATCAGCTGGGGCTACTGTTTGACACAAAATGGTTGCCAAAATGCTGTCATTTGACTGTGGAGGAAGTGGGAATAGGAAAATTATTTCATGTTGCGTACATTTCTAAAATATATTTAACTGCATATTAATTGTCTTTGAATTAAATCCTCATGTTCTTGAYTGTCTTCCCAGACTAGAGACTGGCAGGCAGCCCTATGAGAACAAAGAAACACATGCTTATCTCTTAGTGTGGTTTGAAAATTAGGAGGACCTGTAGCTTGTAGAACTTCAGTATTTGTCCAAGTTTACCATGCCTGGAAGTGTCAAATCTGCATAAAACGTGGCTGTGTTTGAAACACATCCCTGCCTCACGACACCAACATTAAAGGAAAACCCAGCTTTGAGTATATCCTGAGAGAAATGGTCTGTTTCCTTGCGCAGATGGGAAGCCAGTGTCGCTGTCCCCACTGGAGTCACAGCCCCACAGCCCTCGGTACACGGCGTCGAGCCAGCGAGAGCGCGAGAGCCTGGAAGTGCGCATGCGGGAGGTGGAGGAGGAGAACCGCGTGCTGCGCAAGCAGCTCAGCCTGGCGCAGAGCCGAGGCCCTGCTCACCACCACGGCAACCACTCCAAAACCTACTCCATGGAAGAGGGCACGGGCGACAGCGAGAGCCTGCGGGCTGGCATCGTGGCAGGGAACAGCTCTGAGTGTGGACAGCAGCCAGCCGTGGAGAAGTGCGAGGTAAATAAATAAGAACCTGCCAGAAACAAAGCCTGATAGATTTGATCCCGTAAGAACGTTGCAGATCCCTGTCTCCTTCCCCCGAAACCTTTTTTGTCCAAAACCAGCCACTTAAAGGTAAACTGCACGCAACTTTTTAGATAATTTGTTATTTTACTTTTTTTAGAAATCTCTAATACATTTAATTATTGGACTGTCTTCTTAGTTATTATTTCATCGCAGGTTTTTGTCTTTTTCTTTCTTATGTCTCCAAACCTGGTATAAAGATCAAAGCCTTGTTTCTAGCTGACTTCAGTACAGGTSTGCCAATAAAGACCTGTGGCAAACTGACCCTGTGTGTTTTAAATGATAATAACTCCAGAGTGCTTAGAAAAAACCTGTTTCTTTGTTTCTGTGTCTGGTCTGGAACAGTTCACAGTTCACRATTAATTAAATTGCAGGTCATGGAGCCAGCCCATACTTTTGACTCACTTTCAKGAGTGTGTCTGGGTGTTACTGTGGAAGCAGGTGCTTTGAGCTGTGCACAAGTAGTGGGCTTGGCTGCAGGGAACGGGAGATCTGTTTCTAAGACAGTTCTGGTGTGTCTGTTTGGTTTGGTTTTCCCCATTTTATGTCAGCACTTTTATGGATGTCATCCAGATACTTAGTTGTATGATGACCAATCCAAATATGGATAGATTCAAAACAGAAAGTCTCGCTAAAAGGCCTTGTGCCAATCCCAGCTGATAAAGTTACAAAAAATTGCTTCCTCCATTTATTTCTACAAAGAGGGTAAYGCCATATCACCTTTTATCTTGCTTTCTGCCACTTGGAAGATAAAAGTTGAAAGAAAATTAGTGGGAGAGGAAAAAGAAAACCTAATTATCTCTTCAGTTAAATTCTAGTCAATGGAWAATATCAAATACAGTTTGAAAATGAATTACTGCTTTCCAGTTGGATATCTTTGTCCATCAGTGTAGAAAAAAAGGAAGCAATGTTATCAAAAGGAGAGGGAAAAGGATGTTTTTGTTTTTCATTTTCCCTCCTTCAGATAATGAGGGTCTGATTTTCCTCCCAGTGAGATTTTTGGCATTTCTTTTAAGCAGGCCATCAATCAGCAAACTTCACTTTTCCCTTACTATTTTATCAAGCAGTGATGAGCTGAATGTCAGTTCTTGGTTGTTCAATGTACCAACCAATCTGGGACACAAAAATAGTAGCTTRAAGTAGGGGTAGTTTAAGTAGCCTTACAGTTTATAATGTGTTTTGCCAGAGAGTTTACTTGCTCAGTGGGGTTTAGCACTCTGCTGGAGGCAATGTTTATAGAAAATATGAAATCACACATTATTTGCCATCCCCCTATGTCATCACACACCATTTTGWTCTCAAAATAACTTCTTACTCTTTTCTTAAGGAATTCACTCAGTAATTCAGTTACAGCAATGGAAGTTAAAATTAAACTTGCCTATTATCAGATTGGCCAAGGGTCTCTTCATTTATCCTGTTAGTGTAGATTCTGGTCCTGTGTGTGAGGGGCATCTTGACGCCATTCACTCTTTAGTTTTTTTCAGTGTTTCAGATGTTAAAACAAGATCTTTTTTTTTGCTTCTGACCCTGGAATATATCACAGCGAGAGTCAACAAATTGGATAGTGAAAAACAAGTTCTTAAGAAGAAGACTGTGGYGCTGGGGGAGACTATGAGTGCTAGGAATAGGTTGTTCATTTCGTCTGTTCTTAGAGATTTACTGAYGATAACATTTCAGAATCTAATTTGTGATGGTCTTAAATGGTGATTATAACATTTGAAAATGCAATTACAATGAATGAACATTAAATCTCTGATAAAGCATAATCTGTGTGATGATAATTGTGATCTATATCAGATAGCTGTGGGTTTATTACATTCCAGTCACAGCTTCTTGCTCTGTTGCATCACAGGGGAGCTCTTCTGATATTGTAAAATGGACCAGCACTATACTGCAAGAAAAAATCAGACACCCAGACAAGGGGCTACCTGGAGGGAGCAGGAGCCTGTCATGCCTTCCCAGTAGTAGACAATTTTTMCATAAACCTTGGAAATATGAGTAAGCATAGTCCTTACACAGATGTCAGCGCTAACAACAGGCTTCAGGAGGAGAGCATAATGCCAATGAAAGCTAACAAAATTATTTACCTCTTTCTTACAGTGTTATCCCACTATCTTTCCAGCTTGTACCTCCATAAACTGAGCTTTCACTTGAACTGAGTGTGCATTTATAATTATTTTTTGGAAAGATTATATATTAAGAAATTGATAATTAGCAATATAGCATTTAGTGGGTTGGAAAAATCCTTAACATCTGAAGCATTTTTACAGGSATATTTTTATTGTCACTGTTCTCAACAGTGTTATTCAATAGGGTTCAGTGTGCAGTGTTCCACAGCCATCAAGAACAGATCCTCACCAACTTCAGCAATGGAACACATGTAAAGCACTGGAAAAAAAAGCCCTGGAAACAAACAAAAGTATTTTGTTACATACTTTTAATATCTCTTAATCACATTCAGCAATTATTTATGAAGGATTAAATATCTACAATGCAAAGCCTACTGGAAAATTATTAAAMCATGAAATATCTTGCCAAAGATAATTTTTTAACTATATGGACTAATTATAGAGTTTTTAGAACTTACTATTTCATCATTACAAAAAGTAGCCCAAGGAGGGAAAATTATTACTATGTTCATCTGAGCACTGTATACTCCTMATCAGTAAGGGATCTAAGGACCAGTTCTTTGTGTGGTTTTGGRTATTTTCTTCACATTAATAGTATCCCAGAATAGGAAATACTGCATTTAGGAACCATTTTTCCTGGTCTGTAGTAGCTGAAGTTTGAAGGTTTCTGAACTATGTTAATATGCACCTTGGTATGACTTAAACTCCCTTTTCTAAAGAAGCTTAGTTTCCTTGAGTGCTTGAACCACCTAGACCTGAATGCTTCCTAAATTATTTACAATTAAAAATAGTTCTGTTTGTGTCCCTGATTCTCAGCCAGTTGGGAGAACATTGTGATGAACTTCCACAGTGTTTGGATTACCTATTCGTATCCATATGTATAAACAGAGGCCAAATTCATTGACTCTGGAAAAAGGGTGTCATTTGTCACCTACTTTTGGCATTGCCATTTAATTTTTTGCTGCAATGAGTTACATTATCCAAAAGCATCTATGGTAGTCCGGACAAGAGTCTTTGCCACAAGTGGTGAACATGTCCATCACTCAGTTTAAAGAGAGCATTGTAGGAGGATGGACACTTTGAMTGTGCTCAGTTTGGTCCTGCAGTGACTTCTGAATATCCAGGCTAAAGTGTGACCAGAATTGTGAGAAACTATCATGAAGTGCCAGCAGTAAAGGGGCAAGTGKAGCATGCAGAGAAGTTTGGAGGCACATGTTGAGCCAAACAAGCAGGCTGACACTTGTGGAAGTTGTTTATGTGGCTTCACTCCTTGGTGTTAGCTGCAGTCATTGAGTTTTGTGTGAATCACAATGGCCAGCTCTGGTGGGATGGGGGATAGAGGCTTCTAGCATTTGCAGATGGAAAAGAGGAGTTTGAGAGAGGTGACAATGTTCAAAACCTGAGAGGTGAAGCTTACAGTAGTGTGCTCAGGAGGGTGCAAGTTCTTTGAAGTGCTTCTGCCTGCCACTATTGCTTATCTTGCCAGAATCTGGGTACAGCCAGCTGCTCTCAATCCAAACATGCATTTGGAGCAAGTGTGGAGAAAATTGGAAATAATGTGTTTTCCCTTAGGATGCAAACATCTGCAGACAGTTCAGGTTGATGACTTCATTTTGGCCTATCTGTTTTTCCACTGACTTTGTTTAACAGTGAAACAATGAGAGAGAGGAAAGTGAATCAGGGAAAGGAGAGGAACAGACTGAGTCTCACAGCATGCTGCAGGCAAAAGCTTGGAAGAAAAGGTCTGGAATTCTGATCTTTTTAAGGATTATTGCTCTTTTGTATAACTGATTGCAGGCAGGAATAGAAGTGATATATAATACCAAACACCACAGAGAGACTGAGCAAAAAGTACCTGAATGTCTGTGTTTTCTGAGCTGGAAAAGACTGTTCAGAAGAGTAGTAAGTGCTGCTCTCACTGTGTCCTGGCTGAAGCAGCATCCAAGGCATCAGCAGCTACTAGAACACAGCAAGGAATGCATGCCTTCAATTTTGAAACAAACTGATTTATTAAAGAAGAACAGATGTGGGCAAATCCTTGATAGAATAAACTCTGCTTTGGAGTTGTAAGGTAGAGAGAGGAGCTTTGAGGAGAGCTTTTATGGCAAGTATAGGTATTATAAAATTATGTTGACAGTGAAACTGTGAACAGTTTTTCTGTGAAAACCCCAAAAAGGTTTGTGTCTGGTCCAGTGCCTTCAGGAGAAATGTTTAAAGCAAGGGTGAAACTATTCTCAGTTAATTTGGTCTTAATTGGTACTGAGGGGAGGGGTCTTAGGTCTTCCAAAAGTCTGAGAAGGACCAGGTGACAATCAGAGAGGAGGCRGTATGTGCCAGATCAGGAATCAGTGCATCCACAGAAACCCATGCCAGTGMGTACTGTACAAACTCCTGCTGCAATAAAAGTCATTAATAAGCAGCCTGTGTTCTCCCTTTTTACCGTAAGAGAGAAATACAATCAATTTTTGCCAGGTGTTGAACATGCTCAGCTCCCATTGAGCTTAACATAAATTTAAAGTGCTAATACCTCACACAGCTGTGCCAAAATATACTGCAGTACCTTTTGTTCTTCACACCTCTCTGGAAAGACAGTTGTCTTAATTATTCAAGTCCTCTTAAAGCATCAGATCTTAAATATGCCTGAGTTTGTGAAGCACACTGGGGCTGGAGGCAGCTGTGATGTTCATGTGGACATTCTACAGWGGCACAGCCACTTGGCAGTTGTATGATCCAAATTGTGCCCTGTAYGAGGCGATCTTAATGGATGGGGCTGTGGACTCTTCAGATGTGCCCAACACACGCCACYTCTTGTGTCAGTGTGCTTCTATTACCAGCCAGGCTTTGGGAATCTGTGACTATGTGAGGAGGCAGAATTCCTCATTTGTTCTCYGCATAGTGGGCATTCTGTGGAAAATGAGAGCTGTGTGTGAGAAACCAGCTAACCAAGCTTCAAATGGAAGCCAAATGAGGCTTCCCTGCAGTTTCACAGCTGTGTCCCCAATGGCAGCTTTGTGCTGACAGCATGGTGAGCTCTGTTTCATTTCTGTGACCACTAAGAAACAGAAGATTACAGAACCTGGAGTCAAAACTGCTAGGGTTCTTTTTTTTTTGTCCCTAGGGAATAGAAATGGCTAATTTTAAAAGCAGAGCAGAGTAACGTAATAGCATTTTTCAGATTAGTACTTACTGCCTAAATAATGACTCGYAGAGCCTTTTCAATTTTCCCTTTCGTCCTGAAGAAAGGAGGAAACCTCTGCCTCATGTTAAAAGGGAGGCAAAAAGGCACTGAGTAAGTGATAACTCACCATTGTCGTGAGGTGGAGAGAATGTGTTTGTGGGAGTTGTATTTAACATYACATTAACATTTCCCTGTACAACCCACACTGGTAGTCACAGGCGGGGAGGTGCCTACCTGCCTTCACAGCTTGTGYCCCATCAGGTCCCTGGGATGCATCCAGGCCTGGCAAAACAATTGTCACAGCCATGTTCATCCATGAGAGCTTGCTCTCCCTCTCCTTAGCACCTGTGCATAAAGATATAAATAATACATTTCTGAAATAATATCTGCTTCTAATTATCAGATAAAATGTTAAACTTTACTTCAGAAGATTAAAAATGTCTGGATATTTGCATACTCAGAATTTTGTATGCTGCCTACTTGGGGAGGGTGTGTGTACATTTATGCACACATATGTCTTAGCTAATAAATGCAATTCTGTTCAAACATCTTATGTAATGTAGGGATAGTAATGACTTTGGAATGATGATGGTGCTATAACTCAATTAAGATGTTTTTAACAAACTGCCTCAAGTGGGCTGCAAACAGCTGCAAAACACCCACTCAAATCTCTGGCAATTGCAGCACTAAACAACAGCAGTGTCATGTGTGTGTTGTCCTTAAGGAGTGATGAACAGAGGAGCAGGATTTAATTTTTGTTCTTTTTGTTCCTTTTCTCCCACAGACTATCCACGTTGCCATTGTCTGTGCAGGGTACAATGCCAGTCGGGATGTTGTCACACTTGTCAAGTCTGTCTTATTTCACAGGTAAAGGTAGCTTTTCTTTCTTGTATATTGTATATCCAATTGTCACTAAGTGAGCTTTTTCTAGATCTACACTCTTATTTCCAAAGAAAGTCGGATTCCCTACTCCAAGTTCCTTTTATTTAAGGAATGAAGCATGAAATTTATGACTGTCACAAATAGATTCACCTGTGTGAAGATTTCTACAGTGAATTAGAGTGATCAGAGATCCACCTGCTATCCCTGCTGCATTGTGGGAATAGGGACAGTATCTATCTTCACTGTAAAGCATCTGCACACTCCTGAATGCTGTAAAATATTGATAATGGCAATAACAGTGTTGTATTCATTTAGCCTAAATCTGGTATCAGTTTATGATACTGATGTAGATGATAAATTCACACTGATTGCTTGACTATCCCAGCTTCCAATTTTGACATTCGTTTTTGAAGTAAACCTGCTGTTATAATCAGTATATACTATTTAATTAAATTCAAATTATTTATTCTGGCTTTGAAATGGCTGCTTACAGCCCATCAGAAARTTTTGCAACCTGGTTTTAGCACAGTTAGCTCTCAAAGCGGAGAGGCATAAATGTACGATGAAAASAAAATAACCAAATCCCTTAATAGACAGCAACTCCAGTGAAAGAGAATTCACATTAAAGTATGTGAGGGTGTACGTGTATATCCCCTGTCCAGTTTAGAACTGTCTTTCAGAGATGCTTTCCAATCATGTTGCAGAAAGTGGATTAAAATAGGGAAGGGATCAGACTGTTTGACCCAAAAAGGGCAAATAGACKGATAAAATATGCTTACAGTACAAACAGCTTACTAAGGAGGTAGTTTCAATATGCTGCTTTATTTGAAAGGCAATTTTATGCAAGGGTGAATGASTCTTGTTCATGTCATGGGGTAGTATCTTCTTGCACCTTTGCTCCTTATGTTTGCCTCCAGTCTTCTGCTGGAAGCCTTAGCAATCAGTCCCTGTCAATGGTTTTAGTACACTGTTTTATCATTTTTGGTAAGCTTCATAAAATAGAATAGATTCTCACCTTGTCCAATACGAAAAAGACTCAGTAAGTACCATTTAAAATTTGAGAGCAACTTCCATTATCAGCACATAGTCTTTACAAGTMTTTTGAGAAGTAGCATGTTCATGTTAGATGAGGGCTAGGACCAGAAAAACCATACTAAAATAAACATAACAAAAGCAAAAAAAACCCAGTAAAAATCATTGTCATTCTCTGTGCAGATTTTTTCTGAATGTTAAAATTCTGTTAAATGTTAAAACCACATCTATTTCCAATTAGAAGTTTGAATTATTCAGTGTAAACTGGCTTCATATTGCGAGGATGTGTGGAGGTTTTGTCTATTTTGATTGTTCTTTCTAAGAAATTTCTTGGAAAGTTGTGTTTTTGTGGTGACACAACTTATCCTAGTGGTTAGCTTCTCCCTGTTTTTTTCTATCCTAGTACTTGCATAATTTTGAGAAGATTTTATAATTTCTATGTTTCTAAATGCTCTGCAAATGATAGGAATCTCACAGTTCAAAGGTTTAAACAGCTTCTCTCTCTGTTCCTTAAAGGAAATGTTTTGAAAGGTTAAAGGAAATGTTGATGGTTTTACATAAGCCATATATCCGAGCAATTATCAAATTTATAAACAATTCTGCTATATAATTAAATTAAATAATAATTAATTAAAATAGTAAACCAAAACACAGGTGATTACTATTGGTATTTCTAAGTCTTATGGATTCAGCCTCTGTCAAGAACATACTTGTTGTTTGCCCTGCACCTCTGCTCATCTCAAAGGATTTGTTGAGCTCAGCAGAGGTGGTCAAGATAATGTCCAGTGTAGCTAATGAAACTTTAGTACTTTGAAGATAACCTATCTCTCTTGCTTGCTCAGAACGTACTTAAAGACAAATCTATGTCCATTCCTGCCTAGAACTAGCTTTTCTCACTAGACTCTAAATTGTTTGCTAGAAAGAGAAGATATTCTCAAAAAAGAGACAGAGCTTCTTACAGGCATTTCTTTCTTATCTTCCAGAAAGCACAGACTTCTTAAGCATCATTTGATGCTGTGGCTATCTGGCCATGCTTCAGTAGCACTCCATTCTTGGATCTTTATCTTTGGAGTGGCAATTGTGAAGAAGGATGCAGAATAAGCAACAAAGAAAAAACAAACTCAGCTGAAAATTGGTTTAGAACCAAGTTTTCTTGCATTGGTTGCTATGTGCAAACTGTTATGTTGGAGACTAGTATGCACTTCAGAAATGGTGATGATTGTAAAGAAGGCTTCTTTTAGTTGCTAGCATCTATTTAATTGTGGGAAGGAAGGGTGGAGGCAGGTCATGATACTACATCAGGAGGATGGAGTTAGGAGAGCTGGAAGTGGTTGGTTCAGGTAGTGAATGCATCATGATACCAGCAGCAACTTTACCTCTGACTTGAAGATCATCAGTGAAAATAGGCACGGAGTTGTCTCTTCTTCTAACCCTAAATATTCACCAGGGAGTGAATCCAGGGAGTGCCATCCTAGCTGGCATTGTCCAATAGCTAAGCAAAACAGAAAGAACAACAGAAAAAACATTTGAAAGGACTGTATGTTTCCACTGGAATAGTTTGTTTAACAAGAAGTTTGCTATCCTAATCTCTAAGTCAGGCTACTGGTCCTTCATTTGTAGGATCACCACATTCAATCTCAAATATAGTTTTGCAAGAACAGAAAAAATATGCTGTATAACATATTGACATAGAGATTTTGTTTTTACTTGAGCACACCGTGAATACAATCTACTGTTTAAACAACTGACCCGTCAAAGCAGCCAGGTTTGATATCCTCACCTATCTTCCTGCACCTCACTTGGTGTTYGTTGTAAGACAGATTTCAATGAATCTATCTGGACTTTGTGGATGGCTTGTCCTGYTTTTAGCATTTCTGTGTAGGTTAGTAATTAAGGGATGTTTTAGCATGTATTTTGATACAAAACTGCATACCTAAATTCCCTGCTTCTGTTGTAAATCCCTACTTTTCTAATAAAAAAGCTTTTCAAAAAGGAGGCTGTGTCAGTCTAATCCTAGGAAGCATTAACATATTTGTTACAGCCCCAACTTTGCACTAGAGTGCTGGATAGAGACACAAAACAGCAGGAGTGCGGRGTCATTAAGGATAAAAGCTGCAGGATTTTCTATAGATGGAGTGTGCTGTCTCTTCTCTCTTGCATGAATGTACAGAAAATCCTGCATATGGAACATTTCAGCTCTCCACAGGCCTAAAACACCAAGTTTCGGATTTGAGTCATACCATATATATGATGAGACTTAGGCAAACTGCCTGTTCAGACCATTTGAGAAACTCTTATCCATCTTCAGGTTCCAGAGAGGGAAGAGGTGAGGAAAGGGGTGGCGTGGTTGATTCCACAAAAGAATACCATAGTTCAGAAACACGTTTCATTCCCAGTGATAAAGGAGCTTGATTCCAGTTTAGTCTTTCAAAAACGTATGCTCCAGCTGCAAAATCCAGCAGCTTTTAACACCCAGTTTGACATAACTGACAGTCTGTTCTCAGGAGGAGACTCAGCAGAGCTGGGATAGTGCAGGGTTTGCAGTCTGATAAATATGCATTGGCAGCGCTGCACAGAGGGAGGCTTGGAGAATGAATACTCAGTCCTACTCTGCAACTTTCCTGCTTTCCTTCCTTGCACATCCAGTTCCCAATTATGAGACATTTTATAAATCCGTTGCAAGGCTGAAAAAAGTTGTCTCTGAGCCAGTTTAACACAAGCCAGTCTCATATCATATCACTGTGTCCTAAGAGGAACCTAACTTTAGTTTTTCCAAATCAAAAGATGAAACACTAAAATTTAACTATATTGAGTCAAATAGGCAGAATTTTACTCGAATAGGCAGAAGTGCAAATGCTTTTGAAGACAGTGCTTGTAGTAGTATGCTAAAAAGCACCTGAATTTCTTTTTCAAAATTGAAGCGATTWTCTGTGGTTGATAACTTTCCTTGAATGTTTTACAACTGTCGGTCCAAGTGGCATTGATTTTTAATGTTTGATTCCATTTCTGAAATTTCTAAACCTTGGTTTGCCACAGAAATAGTCCACAAATACAGTTGCATATTGAAAAGATAGTTTCTCTCTCTGCTCAGGTAAGTCCTAACTTCACTAAGAGCTCAAATGGTTTTAAAGTACTCTTATATTTTCCAAAGACATGCTRAACACTGTGTTTCATTTGGAAACAGAAAAAACAAAATTACACAGTTACAGCAGTTAGGTCAACCTGACAATCTGTAAAAAAATAACTTCTCTTTTGTGCCAGCAAGGACTGGGTTAGGGGTTTTTTGTGCTCCCTTTTTTTCCCCTTGCTATGTCAGTGCTTCTTCTTCGGAGTAATTGCATTTTCTTCTTTGGCTGTACTCTCCATCTGTGCTACAGCAGTAGTGGCATAGTAATATGGRGGGGTTGTACAGAATGTAAACAAAACCAGACAACCAGACAAAGGCTTTTTAATATGAAGTTGCCTCTTTGTTTTAAGAAASCTGCCTGTAACCTTAAAGTTAAGCATATGTCTAAGGATTTTTAAGAACAGGATATGAAGCAGAATGCTGTATGAGTGATGAACCCTTCTTTTTTTTTCTTAAAACAAGTAAAATAAGGCAAACCAAATGAAAATCCAAATTAAATTAAAAGGATGACATGTAATTTCCAAGTAARAGTCACAGGTCAACACTGGCTAGTAATTAAAGCTTATATAATCTAATGGCTATATTCCATGGAGACCACTTTGCCTTAATGGAGTTAATTTGAGAATTCAAATCCCCTGTCAGTTTTTCCAACTTTTCTTATATGTCAGTCTATTTTGTGAGAGATTATTCTGGCAAAAACTATAAAGCATGACCTGGTTTCTCTGATCCATATAAAAGCATTAATAATGCACACTTCTTTTTGTTTCTTTCTAGYTTTTCTAACAATAGAGGTATAGTGGAGAAAACAATATTTAAAAAAATCTGCCCATGAAATCTCTTAATTATTTCCCAAAAATCTTCTGTAAATTGACACAAAGTGAGGAGATCCATGAGTGAGGGAGCTACTGTGCATTTAAGACTTCTGCARTAGTTCGGGGAGTGTTTTCATCGATACTGGATGTGAAGGAGTATAAAAAGTTTTGAAGATTTTTCACATTAAAATTCTTCACATATGAGAGAGGGATTTTCATATGGGCATTAGGAAAAAAAGTTTCCCAAACTGCCTTTTATAAGTCCTGTTTGAAGTTCTTGTAACCATTTGTTACAGATATAAAAGGTAWTACCTTGTTGTGCTTCCCTTAATAAAGTATGAGTTTTGGAAATAACCCCCCTGGGCTACTGACCTTTTTATATTCTTAGAAAATAAAATTCCTCTGTTGCAGAGAGAGAACTGTATAACCAAGCAGACAAGCAGCTGCCTTTTGAATTACTAACAATTGAGCTATGGAATATTACAGAAGGGAAGAGTGAGTCTTGGTTCACCACTCACTTTTTCAGTAGTAGATTTTTGTATTTAACTCTGTGGCAGTGGCTGTTCAAAAAGAAAGGGCCACAAATACTTGAGCAAGCAGATCATAAATCTGATGAAGAAGTTATGAAATGCAAGAGTAGGACATCATGATAAGAAAAAATSGAGAAAAATGGGTACCTTGGAATAGACTTCTGAATTCATGGCCTGACTTTTAAAATCATTAACTTCTTTTCGTTTTACTAACTTTATAGGACCTCAGCAATTCTGAAAATGAGGGCATYCATTCAAATGCCTATATTTAGGTCTAAGAGCCTATATTTAAGCATCCATGCTTGAAAATCTTGGCTAGAATCTCTCTTCATTCACTTTTGAGGAAAGTAATTTAAGAAAATAAATGTKTGCTCTTTACATGTGGTTTACTTTGTCAGATAGAGTTTTGATCTTAACATAAGTGGAAATAAGTTAATACATGAAGATTTGCAATTTTCTGAATAGAGTACTCTAACCCTTGAATTTCCACTTGATGGGAAATACCCATATTTTGAAACTACATTTTACTTGCATTAAGACATTAGTGCATTAGCATTTTCCCTGTCGCAGAAACTGTGAAAAGCTGTAATTGGTAGAAATTCAAATGTTCAAAATCATTGAAGGAAATAAGATTAAGTATTTCTGGGCCTTGTGAGAAATTCTATGGCTGCTTCAATACCTGCTTCTGTAGTGAGGAATCTGGAAGACCTGTGGCTTTTGAAACCTGCGACACTAGAAACCTTTATTTTGAAATGTACTAATTCACATGAATACTGTGAATTTTCCAAAACCTGTTAGTTTTGTGGGAGAAGTTTATCACAATTGCCATATGTTACTACATAGTTGCATATACTGTCAACATTACAGTATAGTGATTTCTACCACTACAATATAAAACCAGCCTCTACTGTGTGTGTTTTTCTATTCTCTTGATGTGCCYAGTGGAAAATGAGCAAAATGTCCAAGTCTAATGAAATTCAGCTTTCAGTGGAACCCTTCACAATACCTTGATTGTCACCTATGATTCTTAGAGTCAGTGATTCAATCATGTTGTCATATAATTATGGCATCCCTTTCACATATCACTTGAGAAAGATTTCTCATCTTTCARAATCTCTTCTGTATCTTTTATAATGTATGTTGGTTGATTTTTAAGCTTCTAAACTTGTTTCATAAACACTTTGAAGCAATCCATCTTTTAGGTTTCGCATATTGCAGACAGCAGAAGAGGTGAAGGATGTCATCTGTGTGTATGCTACTACTGTTACCTTCAGAAGGTCTTCCAGCTTTCCGTCTGTGCTCTGTTGGCTTCTAGCACCGTGCTAAACCTCGCATTTCACAGAACTGAAATCTTGTCTGGAGTAAAAGTTTCTGTGGCTGATGCACATTTAGYTGTAGATGTCATCAGGCCACTATACTGTTTTGGGCATGTATTTTTGTAAGTGATAATCTTCTGCTYTGCCTCTGACACACACTTTCCTTCCAACTGAATCTTTACCATGAGGCTAACAACTTGAAAGAGATTTCTGTGTGGGAGTGCAGCTATCCTTTTTACTTTTTCCCAGTAGGAGACGAACTAAAGTAAATGTCACTCACTTGTTCCCATTTAAGTTTCATACACTCTGGGTCATTCAGATAAGTATAAACTGCTACTGAACATCTGAGTGTCTTTGTGACAGATTTTTTCTTTTCAACTAGTGTGTTTCATCTTGAAATATTTTGTATCAATTCAATTTAACTAAATGATCATTTGAAAGAAGATGGAGCTTTCTCTTTTTTAACTGATTTTTCACTCTTCGTATTCTACTTTAGAAAGCAAGACAAATAACTCTGGAATTAAAAAAATGGGAAGGAAATTACTGAACACCAACTGGGAAATAGTCCTACCAGAATCCAGACTCAGCCCCTGCTTAGCAGAGGAGCCTGTGTGGGATGTGTGTGTTGACATTCAACATGTATTTTTCTTGAGATACTGCTTTGCCTGTACCCAAAGCCACTAGTGTTGTACTTTGTTTCTCTTGGCCTTGTCTCTATTAATGAGATGTATTTCCTGATCACTGCAATTTCCTGATTTTTTTTCTTGGCAAGGTGCCTGGTTACTGCGGAATCTGCACGAGCCAGGATGTCCTCTTCTACTCTCCTGCTGGGCTGGTGAAGCAGATGTAATTGCTCTGATCCCTTTAGCTTGGTAATGGGACACTCAGCAGCTGGCAGCTTATGCCTTCCCTTCTCCCCTCCTCCCTCCAGGACAAGCTCGAGATTTCTGAAAAGCATATTATAGCTTAGTGTTCTGGATACTGTTAAATGCAGATCAGCTATGGGTTTATTCTGCCATCATGATCATCTCATATATGTCTCCTACCCAGCCCTTTTCTGCTTTTCCTGTAAGCACATAGTGTGTTCCTCAGTGTCCTCGAAGCCAATACAGAAGCTTCACTGGCAACCCMGTGTGCTGGGTTGGATCTTAAGTGTAGGATTTCTGATACTGCAAAATCCAGTTACACATTGCTTCTCACAACAATCTCCTCTTTCTGCTGAGGTAYTGGTACAGTACTATGAACCAGTATATGTATTTTTACATATATTTTCTTTAGTATTTCCTTGTGGACTTAGTTCAGTGGGAGGCAGTATTACTCATCAAAGCAAGAAAAGAAAAATTAAARAGGAAGGCAACATTGTTCATCAATGTAGAAAATGGAGAAAAAAAGAACCTTCATCTTTTGGGTTRAGCCCAAAAATGTAATGGAAGTATATTGGCCTGAACTAACATAGTTTTCGTCACTTCTCATTCACACCAAAGAATGTAGTAGCATCAGCCATCTTCCACTTTAATCAATATCWGAAACTAAACACTTCTCTTGTTAGATGAAAAACATCAGTTAACAGGTACACCCACTTAGCTTTATCAATTCCATAGAAATTAGAATCCACTATTCCACCCTAGGGATCAAAGAGAGGTTGAGCCAATGCTAAAGTATAAACCATTTCATAGTGGCTTTTGCAAACTCTRTCCTTCTCTGCTGATAGGGAAAGTTGCTAAGCTAAGGGTGAACATGGAARCTACAATTTGTGGCTGACTTCCACTGGCAGGTTTTTGTGCTCCTGCCACACACTTTAAGATCAAATTTTGTTGCTTACTGTCCCTCARAAAGGGAGTGAGGTTAAGGAAATTAAACAACGTATTTATAATGTCAAAATTCACATTAATGTAGAAAAAATCCATACAGTTTGTCAAAACTTGCCACTCTTGCTGCTACTGGCTTCACTTGTCTTGATGTGAAGCTTGTCAAGTCCTGTACCTACATAGGTGAACYGAGATCTGGTGTCATGAAGTAAAATATTTCTTTTCTTCATGCCTTGATTTAGCTATTCCTACTCTCAGAAAAAAATGATGTGGAGAGATTTGCCATCTCCATTCTATTCCCTATGCCTGTGAATAGCTAGAAGGCACTCACCTGAAACACCTGATTTTGGGTTCCTGCAGGATGGCTGTTGATTCCCCAAGTTTGCTTTGTAGAAAAGTTTTACATAAACTCAATGGTCCCAGAATTTCACTTGATTCAAATTGTTCTTTTTTAACCTTCCCTTGTGTGACCATTTCTCCACAGACAACTGTTCTTACCACAAAGATAAATTACCAAGTTCACCCAGAAACTGAAAGCAATCAYTTCCACAGCTCAAGTCCCCAAAGGGAGATTAACTTGGCCTTTTTGTAGGGAGCTGGTGCAAGGGACAAGAGTCTTAGCTGTTGTAAATTATCACATTCCACTGAAGTGGAAAAGGTTATTACTATCTAGAAACTGATTGAATATTTCTGTTATTGCCATGTTAATTCAGATTGTTTCTCAGCATTTTGGCCATAGAGCAGGACTCCACCAGACATGCTGTACACTCAAAACTTGACATCTTAGGCACAGATAAAGCTTTGTAAATTCTGATGTTGTCCTTTAAGAATAGGAATTAGAAACATTTGAACTAATGTGTTTCTCTCTCTTCKCACCTCAGGCGAAACCCACTCCACTTTCACCTCATCGCAGATGCAATTGCCAAACAGATCCTGGCAACTCTGTTCCAGACATGGATGGTCCCTGCTGTGCGCATAGACTTCTATGATGCAGATGAGCTCAAGGTAAAGACAGACAGACACAGATGTCAGTCTTTAATTTCTGATTTGATGTCTCCCCTTCRGTATTCATCTCCCTTGACTGGTGACTTGCAGGGGAACTACTGCMTAAAATATTCTCCCTGATGACAACTAATTTTAACTGACTTTAACTAAAAGATACTAGATGGGTAAAATCAGTGCAGTTTCTCTGCTAATGAAATATGTTGTTTAGTAGCTTAGAATATTATCTGCTATCAAGAAGATTTTCTCTGTCCATCTGATCATTTTATGTTTTTCTAAGGATACTTCTTCCTAGTAGCAATGGTGGAAYCTTAAGTATCTTGTTCAATAAGCCCCCAGATCTGTTACTGGAAACACTCATTCTTTAAGCCCAGGTGTGTAACACCATAGGTACATACACTGTGATGAGGTATCAGTAGTACAAACTGCCTTTTTTTTTATCTGGATGTCTGTCCAAAAGGAATGAATTCATAAAATGTTCAAAGGGGGGGGAAAATCGCTTACTCAAAGTAATTATCTTTTCATAGTTAAAAAGATTAAATCAGAACATGGAGGCCCAGCATTGATTTTGAGCTGTATATTTTTTACCTGTGGAGGTAGAATGAAGTATTCAGATATTAGCATTTGGAGTTGGTGGCCATAATTTGTATGACTTATCAGACTGTTCTGAGCAGTACCCTGAAACAAGGAAAGAAAAACAAAATTTAGCAAATTATTCTGTTAGTTAAGGGGTAAATTCAAAGCACACCACATTGTGGAATATGGAATACAAAAAGCTTTAGGAAGAGATGGAAAAGGGAAAAAAGTGATTATTGAGAAAAATACTCTGTTTCTGTTTTGTTTTTTATTGGTTCTTCTGCATGAAACCATAAGCTGATATTAGCCTAATTAGCCAGAGATCTTCCTTCTGTTCTTTATAGCTTCATAGCGAGGAGGAGGTTTGTTCTTATAAATCTTGTGCATGTCTATGTTACACTCTTCTGCAAATTGTAGGGTTTTTAATTAGCCTCTCAGCTGGGGAAAACAGACCTCTTCGTGTTTTCCTTCTGGTCATTTGGGTATGGTCCAATTAGTTAAGTAAATAATAACCAAGAGAGCTTATTTCAGTGTTCCCCAAATTTCTGATTTATAGGCAAAGCACTGAGCAGATATGAGGCTACAGGGYGAGCTAGTTTTGTCCCTCCCTCTTCACTTAATGGCTGGTGTCCTAAATCAACACTAGACTATCTTGCATGTAACCCCATAGGCTATAGGTTGAGAACCACTTTCTCTCTGGGTGCAGGTATTGATGCATAAATTGGTCTTTCCAGGTTTGCCACTGTTTTTCAGAGCTCATCCTGCTGATTACCAAGCAATTTTCCTGATTTCAGTGACCAAAAAAACACACTATAGTACAGAGCATAGGGGATTGTGACAGACACTGTCAAAGGAAAGCAAAGAGTTATAAATATAAACAGAGTTTTAAAAAGCCAGGAATGATGCTGGCTCATATCCAAATAATTCTGCAGGTTTTATAAAGAAGACAGAGGAGCTGTTTACAGACAGCTGTAGGAGCTCATCTCATTTGTTTCTTATGTAGCCCCTAGAGAGGATTTAATGATTGGTTTGGGTTCATGTGTTTCACCTGCACTCTTGGGAGCCATATTATCCTGTGCAGTGTTAAGAAAACATAGAGCTGATGGGGGATGTTTACTAGAAAGTCTGTCTTTCTCTGAAGTGATCTATGAATTCACTGTTACAGTATATACTGTGTTCAGGTTTAAATGACCCTCCATAGTTCTTTTTTAAACCTGTAATCAATACCAATTCCTGACATTTAGAAGGGTTTAGACTGAGCAATAGCATGAGAACTTTCTGCTTAGCTTCCATTCACCAATGTTGAATTGTTTTGGAACATGCTGCCAACGGAAGACATTTCATTTCATGTTTGTTTTTTTCCCACTGGATATGTATGAGCTTCCAGCCTCTTCCTTCTAATSCAGCAGGAGCTGGCATGTTAGATTAAGCCCTGAAGCCCTGGGAAAAATCCTGCTTCTGCTCCTGTTCCTGCTCAGACAGTGTAAAGGGAGTACATAATATTAAATCCTTCATAAATAGTATGGATGYTTTTTTGTTTTCAAGTAGCCGTTTAGAATTGAGGCAGCAGTTTCCACTAGCATATTAATTTTTTTAAGCAGAATTTGGAGACTRAAATATTTGTCAATGTTTCTTAACATATCCTGCAGCTCTTAAAATACATGCTGTTTAACTTAGAGCAATCACTATCCTGAAGGAAAGTGTAGAAAGTTGGGCTTGGCTGTGGCTGTTGTTTTCTCTCATATTTTAGGGGAAAACTGGACACTTCATTGCAAGAAAGGGAAGAAAAGGTACCACAAATTATATCAGAATTTCGGAGGCAAACAAGCCAGCGTATCTGCTTTGCTGCTGCGAATTAAGCATGTCAGATGTTCTTTTAAAATTTAGAGAAGTCCTATTTTTCCTTTTTCAAGGTGACAGCTGTTCACATTCATGTTGCACCATGAAGAGCCTAGGTTCATTCTCTCCCTAGAAGCAGGTGCAGCCTGCTTGGAAGAGGGATGGAGCACAGGAGAGAATGGCCAGGGGAGGGTGTGTCTTTGCTTGGGGTACATGACAGGGGATGGGACAGAAGAGGAGGAGAGTTTACTGTGGAGCTGAGCCAAGATAACAGCATTTCCAGGAAAAGGGTCAGACACAGTTGAGATGGCAGCTTGCTGGATATGTTTCTTTAAACCAGTTAGTTTGAAGATTTTAACAGTCAGCTCTACTAAGTTGCTTTCAACCTCCCCCAACATAACTGGGCCTGTCTCATCACTGCCTTGCCCATAACCACAAGGGAGATAGATGGGTGCTTAAAAGCTCTCCCTCAGCATRCAAGCTGTTCAGATTGTGAACTCTCTCCCATTAACTAAACTTGCTACATGCAGTTAGCAATGAGCAGTAAGCATCCTTGAAGTGTGGGCTGCTGATGATGGTGCCAGTAATTGAATATTGCACAGCTACATGCTTCATTCTTGCTCTGCTCAATATGGCCCACACGTAACTTTCAAATTTATGTGGTCACATATGGCTGTGACTGCAAAYAGGAAGGTTACTTGTCAATGTAAATTCACTTCATATGATCACTTCAGTTGTGCTAGTCAGCTTTGGTCCTAATGCAGGAGATGTAGCTATTACAGTAATGTATCCCATGAAATAACTGGAAACTGAAAATGGTCTTCTTTGAATATTGAATAAAAGAAATAAAACTACCTGTGAAACATTGATTCATTACAGCTGTGACTTGCAAATATCGGGCTGCAGGATATGCTGGGTTTTTCAGTTCAGTCTTACATGAAGAAACTCCAAAACAAACTTGAAAATGTTAGGCTTGGGCACTTGGCTTCTACACTTCATTGTTTAACGTGAGATCTCGTGTCAGTTCACTCACAGGGAAATAAAGGCATTAAACCCATTGTGATCCACACTGTCCCAGAGCAGAAGGAACAGCTGATAAGGCAGTGCTGTGTGTGATGGGTGGAATACAGATGAGGTGAGTTTGTTTTCCCAGATGTTGCCTGACAACATCAGGTGARCTGAAGAAGGCAGAATGTAGAATGAGCAGTTGCCTGCTTTGCTGTGAGTAAATGGCCCAGATACACAGTCCCTTCATCACTGATAGAGAATAAAAGCCATCTCCTTTAAGTAGTTTAGCCCACATCTGCTGCAATTGGTTTATGACCTTGAAGGGATGGTGAATAGGTTTTTCTAGTAGAYGAACATTGGACCTGAAAGTGAAATGTGTAAAGCTCCATTCTTGGCTGTATGTATAGACAATATTCCAGTTTTTACTGTTCCCAGAAACAATAGGTGGCAAATCTGACTACCAGTGCTGCACTAGGTGATTTCATATCAGAAATTTTGAAGTCTGCACACTCAGTCAAAATCAGTGGTCTGATCCAGAGAGCACAGCCAAACCGGGAAAATAATGGAATAAAGCTCACCTRTCTTTGGGCATTTACTTAAGCATGAGATGAGTTACTTCTTAGCCACTTTCATCTGAACTTTGAAGACAGTTCRCTAGGTCAGATACTGACATAATTTGACAAACTTCACAAAATATTCTGAGTTCAAAGAGACCCACAAGGATCAGCAAGTCCACTTTTTAAGTGAAGGGCCCATACAGAGATTGAACCCACARCCCTGGTATTACTAGCACCATGTTCTAACCAACTGAGCTAATGGTCAGGGGCTATGAGATTTAAGCAGAAAAACAAAGTTTTAATTCTTTTAATTATGTTCATAGTGTATCTGGCCCTCGGGGCTGTGCCTGTGTGCACCCCCAATGCACTTAAAGTCCCACAGTGGTACAGGAACTCCCAGGCTTCTTGTCTGCACAGATGAGATAAAGAGCTGGTTTGAGCCAGCAGACCAAGTTGAAACCAGGTGATTGATGCAACKGCTGGCCATCTGCGCAAGAAGTGTTTGACAGCTTGTTACAGGAGGAGTCCCAGTGGGAATTTCAGACGGTTCTTGAGATTTCCCAGGCAGACCCTGCTGTGCCTAGACCAATTTGTATGCTTAAGCATGTCGATTAACATCCCAGGCAAAGAATGTGGCTGGCCCAGATATTCACAGACAGTTCCTGCTCAAAGTTAATCAATTGTACAAGAGTAAGACAATCAATAGGAACAGTTCCTGCATGTGTAGAAATGATCATGTAGGACAATCTTTTGTATGCATTTAAGATAGTTGGGAAATGTTTTGTGTATAGGTTAAGGTAATCTGTAGTGATGCATTATTCATATCTTGCAGTGGTCAGGTAGGACCACAGGCCAGCTGCGTTACAAAACTTGTACAGAAACATGTTTTAGGGAGTCTCATCAAATCCAACTAAGATGATGCCTTGCTATGCAGGCTCCTTTTACCATCTAGACAGCAACCAAGTGTCCTGTCTGGYACATTGTGTTGTTCATGCAAAATTTACTCTAAACCAAAATCCTGAT